TGAAAAGGAGGACGAATTAACTTGGACGAAATCGTTGGCAGGAAGTTTGAGAAGTTTAACGAAGATAAAAAAAGTTTTTGGAAAGATAGAAAAAAAAATATATATATATATGTACATAATTGGGAATAGTCGTTTTGTTTATAATATATATAAATTTTTATATTTTATATTTTATATTTTATATTTTGAGAAATTTAACGAAGATAAGATAAGTTTTTGGAAAGATAGAAAAAAAAATATATATATATATATGTGTACATAATTGGAAATAGTCGTTTTGTTTATAATATATATAAATTTTTATATTTTATATTTTATATTTTATATTTTATATTTTTTATATTTTATATTTTATATTTTATATTTTATATTTTAAATTTATATATATATAAATTTTATACAATTTTACAAGAGAATTTTAGTTGTTTCAGAAAATGATATCATAAGAAGAAGAATATCGATTTATATTCAAAGAGAAAGACAAAAAAGAAAATATAATATTAATCACAAAGTTAACCTTTTAATCTTTTCGTCTATTCGCATCGCGAAATATTAAAGGAAAGAAATTAATAATTTTTATTCGAACGTGTCCGGCACGTGTCTCCTCTATCAGTGGTTCTCAATCAACGCGAAAATTAAAAGTCAAAAAATATTTTTCTTCGCAAAAAGAGATAATAGTTACGAAAATCGCGATTCGAGAAAGGTTAGGAAACCGGCATCGTATCGCTGTCCCAACTCGATTACCAAAAGGAGCGCTATTAAATCGACACTTACTGCACGCATTCTCGTCGGATTCGTCCTTGCAATCCGGTTTACCGTTGCAGAAGAGCTCCTTGTCGACGCACTCGCCGTTACCACACGATAATTTGCCCTCTGGGCAGACTGGTTCGTCGGTCCTCAGGATGGGCAACACCTTACGCGGTTCTGCAAATTGTAATCCTCGTTAACAGGCCGATTTCGTCGCCTGGACGATAACCAATACTACTTTGGATTGACCATTGGTGTTTTCACCACAGCTGCAAATTCTACTTTTACTTCGCCCAATTTATATGTACAGATATCGTGGCGCGCTCACCAGTGGCGCAGGAACCGGTGTCATTCTACTTGAGGAGGAATTGTATTACGAAGGAAATCGATCGACCATCTATGGCTGGATACGCATTAAATATATTTGTGAAATATTTTTGGAGAATCGACTTTAAAATGTCGGCTATAAATCGATTAAATTGGTAAAGCAAGATATCATGATTAAAGTTTTATTAATTTATAAACAATTGACGCGTGTGGTTTAATACAGACATCAATTGTTTGTAACTGCGAATGTTTACGCATTTATGCAAAAGACACGTGATAAAAGAGTACGAATTTTTATTTGAGCTAAATTTCTTTAATTATGTTTATAAAAATTTGATTTTTATAAGTTAAGATATTTTTATAATGTATATAATTTTTGTATCGATATCCAAACATGTCTCACAAATATATTAATACGCAATATAATTTTACAGGGACTATATATTACAATAATAAATTTATATTCTTCATGAATAATATTCGAAAGGATTAAAGGTTGTTACTGTGCGGGATTAATGTGACCCAAAGCTACGTAGTACATTGCCAACTCGATACTAATCCCTTGTCTTATAATCTTTTTTTATTTTCAACAATTACTCAAAATAATATTAGCCTTTTACAACTAATAATAAAGAATCGAAGTTAAAGTCAGAATTAAAAATAAACTTTCTTACGTGATATTATAAGGCAAAGGATTAACTATAATAATCTAATTACATCTTGTAAGACCAGTTACAGTTTCCTCGAGCCCCCGTGTAATCTGGTATTTATATACACGTGGACTTTATGTACAGGTGTGGGAAGTTCTCTGAACACCTTTGACTTCTCTCCATCGTAGCTTTCAATATCGAGCATATTGAAATCGATACATCTTTTATACGATAAAGCGTCGACAAATCGTCAAAGGTATCGAGCTAAGAGGATTCGAATTATGCTTGCGTCAATAGTTCCTACGCCACTGCGTATCAACCGGTCTTTTTATTCGCCTCTCTTCAATTCCTTCGAGGAATTTCTGACTTAGCCAACTGGAAAAGCGTAATAGAACGTGATGGGCGTAACAAAGAGAACTTTTGATTTTCCATTTCGCTGGGAAATAGAAAAATTGAAAAAAAAAAAAAAAAGAAAAAGAATCTTTGCGTTGAAGATTCTCTTCCCTGGAGCAATCATAGATTTTTCCACTGAATTATTTATTCGAGAAATCATTTCGAGATCGTTTGCAGAAGGATCTTAACAAAGAGAAACAAAATGGCAAAAAGAATATAAAAACGGAATGAAAAAGGAACGAATCACGGCCTATCGCGAGAAATATACCCAAGTGTCGAGAGTATCGTTTGTTTCGTTGGCTCGCAGCGATTTGCACGCAGATAATTCCGTGATAAATATAATAATATGATAAAAAGAAAAAAATAGACACATACATAGACACATAGACATATACATATATATGCACATATGCCATATACACGTACGCACGCTGCACACACACACACACATATATACACACATACACGTAGGCATTGTTGAGATAATAATGAAATAGAGAAAATAGAAAATACAGTGATGAAAAGATGAGCTGTTGCGAAAGGCGAAAACAGGCAGCGGAGAAATAAAAAAGTTGAGGCGGTGTCTCGACGTACCACTCGTCGAGGGAATACGACGCGAGAAAAGAGAATTGCAAGTGATTCAACACGTACACACGCGTGCACACATATACAAGCATACATACAGTGAGCAAAGGAGAAAAAGAGAAAGAGAGACAAAAAGAAAAAAAAAACATGAATACACGAGCTGCTCCGATTTAATTTCATTTGCGGCGTTACGTTTTCAAGCAATGCAGTTTACTCGATACGTAAAAGGAATATCTTCGTGGATATATCTTCGAAATATCATAGAAAAAGAAAAATGAAAGCAAACTTCGCCATTTTCTTCCTTTTCTCGTGCACCTTTTACATTTAAAAGCTTATTTCATTTTTCTCGAAATTATGGCTTTAAAAATTAGTCATTTTTAATCATTTATGACGCAATGATTTATTGTTACGATCATTGACGCTCAAAAACTCGAATAAGGCTATATGCAAAAATCAATTGACTGTAAAATAAGTAGATCGATAATTCAGTGTATCGTAAATAGAAAATTTCAATATATTTCTTTGTGCACTACGCAATTAATCCTGTCAGGGCCAAATTATAAAAAAGAGAAAATAAGTAAATTTATCTTTACGAAATAATTAATAAACAACGAATTTGTCTTTTCTGAGTATAGCATTGCGTATATTAAACAATTCAAGAACGAAAAAATTAAAAAAGAACAAAAGCTAACCTATAAAATTCTCTTTTGACCAATGCCATCAACATCGATCGATTATATCCAAACTGCATCGAATCGTTGAAATTCTCTTTTTCGGCCAATTGTATTCCTTTTCCGCGAGATTAAATCAGAAGGTCTCACGAGAGGCACTGGAAACACGCGAGTCCTTCGTTCGAAACGAAAACGAAGGAATACAACTCGATTGTGACAAGCACACAACTGAAGTGACAGTGAAATAATGGCGGTCAGCGCAAGAAGGAGAAAAAAAAGAAAAAGAAGAAAAAAAGAAGATAGAACAGCTAAAATGCAGCTAAAATGTCATCTTAAACGAGAATGAGATGATATTAATTATTCTGTGAGGTAGAAAAAAAAGGAGGGAAAGAGAAATTAATGAGATCGATTCGTGGCGATTACTCGCGCGAGTTTCGAGTTCGATAAAAGCGAACGAGTTGACTAAAATAACGAAGGAGCCGTTATAAGAAGGCCAGATCGTCGAAGCGAAACCGATCTGGATATGGACAAACAGAGAGGCAGAGACAGATAGAGAAAAGATAAAGAAAGAGAAAGGTAGAATGTGTGCGTATATACGTTATATTGCGAGACAGAGAGAGGTAGAAGAAAAAGAGATCAGCAATTGAGAACGTGCTACCTCGTACCTGGAGCGATTTCGAGGAGAAAGAATTGTGTTTGTTGTATATATTTATGCGAATATGTGAATAAATATGTGAAGTGTTGATATGTACAGGTGAACAAGAGTGTATTAGAGTGAATTCTACACAACAAAGCTGAAAAATTGCATTGCGTGGTGAGAATCGATTTCGAGAGATGTATCGAAGCGTAGAATAACTTTATTCGCGATTACGTATTTAGTTGCATAGATTTTAATTGATGTTGATATTTCATAATTATTATAGATAATTCTTCAATTTTCTTTTCAAATTCTTCATTTTTAATATTCGAATAACTAGGAAACTCAAGTTTTTCACTGGCTTTTTATAACCTGTATCAGGAATTCAATCTCTCGAAACGACAGGGACGCGGAATGTTAATTAAAAATCGCTTAGGAAGCGAATCGAATTGACGAGATGGGGAAAAAAAGCGAAACGAAGTTTTCACGGGTGTTAGTCGTGCAACATGGATCGAGAGAATTGCGTGAATCTGGCAGGAAGAGAACATCGATAGTCTCGAAAAACTAGGTTAGAACGCTCGAGGCACGAACTTCTCGTCTCCACTTTCGCTCAAAATCGAAACCAGTCTCTCGGCAACGAATCGAAAGTGGCTGAACTGGAGATTACGTCTCGAAAGTGGTCTCGTGTTTGTAATGATCATGCGTTTTCACTCGGCGAATGTATATACGTAGAACGTTATTTAAACTCACGTAACTCAAAGATATGCACGAGTGGAAAAATATCGAATTAAAATCATAAAACCGATCGCTTTTGCATGACTTTAGAAAGTACAGGAAATTAGATTCCATTCAACATATTTCGAGATAACTATAATAATAATTGGAATTTCGTTTGTCTGGTGAATTTCTTATTTTAATTTAAATAAATACAAGAGAATTGTTTGATAATTAAATGCAACAGTATGAAGATAATGAACCTAACCTAAAAATAAAATTTAAGAGAAATACGTGATTTCTGATTAATTTTTGGAGACGAGAAGTATCGTGGATGAATCTTAAAAGTGCGTAAGGATAATCGTGCGTTAGTACTACTACTACCTTACGAATGGTGCGTGCTACGTTGCGAGTCTACGAAAGAGCCGGGCTTCTCCGTACATTTTTTTAAAGAATTTTTCATCATTCTCAACAGGAGAACGAATGAAAACAATCTTCTCAATAAGATGTTCTTTCCATGAACGTGCGTTATATAAAAAATCTTTAAAAAAAAAAATTCAAATTTCTTTGTCAATGGAAAAGAGACGAGAAGTTTTTTCTCGTCGCTTCTCATATAACATCGACATCGAAAACAGTTTAAAGCAATTTCAAAAAGAATCCGATATTTGTTTCTTATATCTCTTTTTCTTTTCAGAGATATTCTTTTCACAAAAGGAACGAAAGAATGCATGGAACGCATTCCTTGGAAAGAGCACAACGGAAATGGAGACAGAGTACACCGGCTCACCCTGGTCGATACATCGACTTACTCTCGAGCTTGTCACAGTTGGTGACTTTGCCCTTCCAGTCGCAGGTCTGTTTGTCCAAGTCAAAGGCCAACCCGCTGGGGCACGTGATTTGCTTCAGGCCGGATTTCGTGCACCTGTGCGTGTCGGACAGAAAACAAAGGGGACGCCGTTTAATCAAATAGAAATCTGTATGTATCGCTTACTCTCGAGTTGGTCGCAATTCTTCACGTTCGTCTTCCAGTCGCACGTTTGCCTCTCAATGTCGAACGCCAGACCTGTCGGACATCGGACTGTTGCCAACCTGGTCACGCCAATCTCGCTTGCTTTGTCGCATCTGTGATTCAATTTTATATACATATATATATACATATATATATTTTTTTTATACGTTTGATATTTTCAAATTATTATTCTTCTTCCAGATTTTGGATAGTTGGTAATTTCTGCTCGCCATCATGACACATCATCTCAAGACACATTCTAATTAAAGGAGGTTGAGAATCATAAGTTACATGGAAATTATTTTGAGAATAAATTAATATTTAAGGAAAGAATAGATTTCTTCATTATATATTTTTATATTGTATGATTTCAATATTAATTTAATTTGCAATTCTATCAATTCTTAATCTTTCAAATTTCGATATTATACATTATTTATTATTTTAATTGCAGGTATTATTCAATAAAATTGTCAAATCAAATTATCATCCATTAATATCCAATCTTTTCCAATTGTTGAATCCTGAGAAATTTTAAACTAGTAATAAGCAAATTTTTGTTAAAAATTAAGAAGCTGGGATAAAATTATTATAATCATAGTTGAGAAAACTCGTCGACTTCTTCCAAAACGCGTGACATTCTGCAACAGGATCTGCAGGATTCCTGCTCCCGAGATATTTTTGTATGTCCTTGACGGTGGAATACTTTGCCATTCGTGTGAGTCAGGATACACCGTCTGTCGTCATCGTGTAGAAGGCGAGTCCTGTATCTAATATCAAGCTCACCTTGAACCTCCCAACGCGGAGTTCGATCGCGAAGGAATCGAAGGAAGTCAACGTTTGATCCTTCGCATAAATCGCCGTTTTTACCGTTAACTTGATCGACCTTCGAGATTTCTACTCGTTGCAGAATCGATTACGATTTGATTAGATCAGAAAAATTTTTTGTAAAAAATTTTGATATTTTTGGACGATGATGCGATTTCTACTCGTTGAAAGATCGACTACGAGATATTAGGGAAGGATTAAAGTCGATCATTACGTCTTCAATCAGAAATTCTCGTTTTTTGTGAAAAACTTTGATATTTTTGGCCGATGATTTTTTAATTTTATTTTAAAGAATTGTTCATATTGAATTTTTTAAAAGTCGTGTTTTTCAACGTCAGTTCGATGGAATGACGACAGATGGCGACTTGGAATGGTCAACACGTTGAGTTTTATTGGTAATTCAGCGAATTAAATTACCTTACGACATCGCGACAGTCCCCTTCGACGTTCAACCGGAAATACTCGTCCCCCGGCCTATCTTGACACAACTCTTCGGCATTCGCGTCAATCCCATCGGCACCCTCCTCGTCCTGTGCTCTGACTTGTGTTCCTGAAAATTTGAATACGACAATTAGACAAAGGATAATCAATTAATAATATTAATAAATTTGAGAAAAGTAATTCGTTTTTACTATTCCAAGTCGAAGAATAATGCAAGAAGAAAAAAAAAAATAAAAGAAATAATGGAACAAAATCTTGGAAAGTAAAAAAGACATTACTGACAATTACGTACTACTTTCTATCATCGATTACATAAACGACTCTCGATCCATCAGCACAATCTCTAACGCAACTTTTCAACATCCTTCCCTTCCATGCTTTCGTTCCATAAAATAATCTAACGACTTCAGATTCATGATACATTACTAAACAGTAATTTTGCAATTTTTTCCTTTCCATAAAAATATTACCAAACAAAATAATCTATCTCTTCTTTTTCCATCTTCTTCTTTTCTTTTTAATCTTCATAATCAAATTTTCAATCATACATATCTAAAAAAAATATCATTCCTCGAGGAGTAAGAGAAAAAGCTTGATAATTTTTCTAATTTCTCAGATCAAAGTGGAAGAGCAGAAAATCAAGAAAAATGGACGCATCAACTCCTTCCCCATCGATTTTCCCCTATCATCTTTCACGATTGAATTGGCAATCGAAGAAAAAGAAGAAGAGGAGGAGAACGAATTGACATCGAACGTGACATTTGAATAAAAAGGGCAGATTGGCATTGCTAAGATTGTCCATGGAAAATGTCGCGACGGTTGGAAGCCACGATCTCTCGAGATCGTAAACCGAACACGACGGGGTCGGTGAACCCTCATAGAAGTAGAAAGTCTTGGAAATGTCAGGGCAACGAAGTAGTAGAGGAGGAGGAGGAGGAAAGGGAAGCGACAGTGGTTCTCCAAAGTAGGTTCTCTCACGTTCCTCTCCTGCATCCTCGTTCACGAGCAAACGTCCCTTCTCGTGCCTTCTTGTTGTTCATTTACGATACGTGAATCGTGATCCGCGATCGTGATCGACGCCGCTTCCGGCCGACTCGTCTTCGGCAAAACTTTCACGTTCCACGAGACCGTGTCTCGTGAATTTTATTTTATATTTGTCCAGAGACAATGGAAGACAATTTTCTTTTCTTCGAACGTGTATCGTCTAACTGTTGAGTATTTATAAATATTAACTTTTTGATCGAATCAAAAGGATGTTCCAATGATCGTTGTCAAGCTTCTTCTTGGACAAATTTGAAAAGTAAATTTCAAGCAGATTTCGAATGAAAGTAGACGTCATTGGATTGGCGAGACCGTGTCTTGTCGCGGCATCAATCGTTGAAGTCACCAGAACACTCATTGCGTCGAGCCAGGTTTCTCGATTCTCGAGACATTTATGGCCATTGTAAAGTTTACTTCGTTTAATTTTTCCAACTATTTGAATATTGTCGAGACATATTTTTAACGGAGCCATTGAATCTGAGGGTGTTGTAATCGCAATAGAGATCTGAGGAAACGAAGAATCGCGAAACAATCCTAGGTTCCGAAAGTTTCTCGTGCGAAAACTCGTTCGATACGAAGGAAACTTTGTTAACGTCGAAAACAACTTTCACCTGCGTTTACAGAATCGGAACGTAGATTTCCAAGTGTTTCTCTTCCACGAGAAATCAAATTTATTACCACAAATATTCTCTCTATTCGAACTTTCACAAACTAAACGTTTCACGAAATTTCAAAATAATTATATCTAATAACATAGAACCCTCAAATTGTCCCTTCAACTTTAAAAAAAACTCTTCCAAAAATAATCAAATTACCCAAAAATTAAATCTAAAATCCCTTTCACATACTCTCAAACGATTCTTCAACGATCCAACCTCCCCAAACACCCCCCCTAAACTCCTAACTCTAACAACAAATCCAAACCATCCCTCCACAAGGTCCAAACTTCAGATATTTTAATTTCCTCGAAGCCCCATTAAATCCCCATGGAATCGAAAATCGATATCGAAGGAAGAGTGTGGGAAGAGCGTGTACTCACCGGCGAGCAGAAATAGGGATCCAAGAAGGAACAGGAACCTCGGCGACATGGTGGCCGTCGTGGTGGTCGCCGTCATCGTCGTTGTCGGGACAAAGAGCGTCTGGACAAGCCGCGCCCTCTCGCCCCTCTATATGTGCACCACCACTCCTTCCTCTTCGTCGAAGGACTTTCACCATCCGGATGGTGCTGCCACCTTTTCCACGTCGTAAAACTGGCTGGAGAACGATAAGGGGGTCCGTTCCTTCCGTTCTCTGCTACGTGGAAAGACGAAGGCGTGGGGTGGGGGGAACGAAGTGGAATTCCATTCTCGATCTTCCCTCGTCTCTCGAGCCCTCCTCTTCTCCATTTCTTGAAAATTTTCGAAAAGAGGAAGAGGATTGGTTTTGTCTCAATATTCGACGGGAGTTTCGATCTTCTTCTGCTTTCTTCTTCCGGTTCTTGCTTCTTCTCTGCAATTGTTTCGTTTTCTTCCTTCTTGCTTTGATTTTGTTTTATTTTTTTTTGGGAGCGAAGAGAGAAGAAAGTTGGACAAATGCAGGTTGAATTTCTATTGGAAGATGAGAGATTGGTTAATTGTAATGTAATAGAGAGGTATGGTAGAGAGAATAATTGAAGATATTGATAATATTTGTTGGCAGAAATATATTCTTATTAAGAATTTATTTGTACAAATATCTACAGTTAATTTTTTCTTCTTGCAGGTAACAAGAATTGAACAATCAATTCTTCGAATCGTGAATTAATTGTAAGAGAAAATGGATATCTTTATTCGAGGTCCTAAGTGAAAACGGAATTTTGTGCATCGTTTTACGGTCTAGTGACGGTTGGCAGAGGTTCTAAAAGGGAGTACGAAAAATGGATCGTGGTTGTAAAACTCGCGACGAAAGTATCGTCGACGTGCTCGAGTAACTTTCCACGAAAATTGCTCCGCACCACGCTTTTGTCGACGAGATGCTTGAAACCTTGAACCTTTTTCTTTGCTCTCAATGTAAAATCCATTTGCAATGAATTTCGAGTTTGCCCTTCATTTTGAGAAAACAAACGATAATTAGCGATGTCGAAACAATAATTATTTATGTTAATTCTATTCTGTTTGGTATTTTCTATAATCGTTGTTATTAATAATGCATATTAATAATATTCTATGGATTAACGTTGTGAAATTATTCTGTATTTACAAACAATTATATTTTCCATTGTTTCATGGTAATAACTGTTTCAAAATAGAAGGAGGAATTTGTTTTAATGCAATATTTTTTTTTAATAATACTATTGGAAATTTTATCGAGTACTTAAATACTTTAAATATTTTTTTTTTAAATATTTTGAATAATTTCGTTCAAATATTTTAATTTATTTATACACACCTTTCGAATGTTTAAAATATTATATAGCATATAGACTGTTCTTTCAATTCAACGTACAATCATAAATTCTATTGATATTCAATTTCTAAGGATCACGTTTAACGTTTCGTTTCACGAGTAATGCGAAATACGCGCGTAAAGTAAATCAATTAATAGTCAGATGAATAAAGATTAATTAACAGTTACTTTCTCTGCATTCGCGTTTTCAATCTTATTGAACATGCTCTCCGAAACGACTTCTTTTTCTACTTTCTTTTCTGCCTTCTTAAATGTCACAGCTCTTCCTTTATGAATTTTAGTTTTGCTAAGATAACACTTGTCACAAATATGTCGAATTATCGATCCATACGCCTTTAAATATTTTCCACTATTCTTCGGTATATTATATTATATATCAGAGATTTTTCGTTCAATTTCCGTCAATCACGATCCCAGAACTTCATTAAAAATACAAATACACGCCTCGACATCTCTAATAATATATTGATATATAATATAATATATCCATCCTCCTTTCGATTCTTCAAAGAGGAAAAAAAATTAAATCAAGAAAAAAAGTTAATAGCGAAAAAGAAAAAAAGAAGTCGCAAAAATTCCAAATTAATCTCAAAGACATAATCTTTGGAATCGTGGATCATCCCAACTACTATTGGAATTTCCACTTTATTAAAAAACTCTTTATTGAAGAACTCCAGAAAGAATTAGAAGAGAAAAAAAATACTTCAAAAATTTTAAATACATAATCCTATGGAATCGTGCATCATCATCCCATCCGCGCACGCAAACTCCTAGTTTCAAAAATTTCCACAGAAATTCTTTATTTTCCATTTTATGTGACCACTGACCTCGATGCCGCGTGAATTATTTGCGCGCTTTTAAAGCTGCTCGCCAAATAATTCTCATTTTTCATTCTCCAACCCCTTCCACATCCAGCATGGACCCTCTATGTCAGCGCGCCAGCCGTTTTACGCAACGCGTTTATATTCCGGTGAGCTAGGCCGAGATGTACCGGGTGGTTAATAAATTTGCGGTTTACGCGGTAAAAGGTTATCGACGTCGTTCAATAACGGGATGCGCTATTGCGTTAGATCATCGCAACCTGCATACCGCGTAATCATATTGATTCCACTTTTTACGAACAGAGGACAGCAGCCGATTATTATCGATCGAGTTCGATTTAAAAAAACGAAGGACTCTCGGGATATCCTCGTGGGAAGAGGGGAGGAGGAGGAGGAGGGGGGCAGAACGAAGGACGGAACTTTTTAACGAGAGTTGATCGATGTCTCGTGAAATTTTTCTGATACGATTCGATCTTGAATTCAAGATCGATCTCTTTTATGCGTGTCATTTAATCTTTCTCGAATGGTTTGAAAAAATTTTTGGAGAGCAAAATGTCTCGGTTGATTAATTTCAAGCGTAACTTTCATGTCAAGACTTATTGGCAAAATATGAAAGTAGAAATGATACAAGATTAAAAAAAACTTAATCGAAACTCGAGAAGTTACTCGAGATCTTTGCTTTATCTTTTCCTCCTTTTGAAAAATAACTCGAAAGATCCTTAAGTAAAGATACAAGCACAAGTTTAAAGCAAAATTTCTAAAATTATCAAACTTTCCAAAGAAAACGTTTCACACGTGACAAGACTCGTCGTGTCATACTCGATTTTCGCCGATGATGTAGCAAACGACGTAGCCGACGTTTCACGAAATCGTCAGCAGGGAAATGTACAAAATGATTCCGTTCCCAATTTCGTTGCGAAAGTATTCGAGCGTAGATCGATCGGGTTTATAACACGTTCTGAACCTGAACCGTGTGTTTCTTTATCTCTACACGTTCCTTGGACAAACGTCGAACAGCATGCGCGACGAAGAGGATTTAGAGAGAGGCGTTCGTGCCAGGATCAATAAATCCCGAGATAACTCGGACCTGTTGCAGATAACGGTTAATAACACCGTGTACAATCGTTCGAGACGCCTAGGATAAATTGTAATTGCGAAAAAAAAA